CAGAAAAAATAAGAGCAACAATGAAAAAACACAACATAAACACACCAACAAAGCCATACACAACAGGTAGAAACAGACTAGTACACCCAAAAGACAAGATACCAGCTGGACTTAAATGTGGAGTCATCTACGAAATCCCATGCAAACTCTGCAATAAAACATACGTAGGAGAACCCGGACGCCAACTCAACACACGGACAATAGAACACAGAAAGGAGTGCGAGAAAGAGGCAAGTCGAAAACACACAAGAGCAGCAAAAGAAGAAGCAGAAAGTACAATAAAAAAGTCAGCCGTAACAGATCACTGCTTAAGAGAAAACCATATAATGGACTGGGACAGCACACGGATCATAACCACCGAACAACAAAAATACAAAAGATGGATCAAGGAAGCAATCGAGATAAGGAGACGTGGATGTGGGACCATGAACAGGGACGACGGAGTTTACACGCTGGACCACGCATGGGACTGCATCGTCGGAGAGGGGAGAGCGGGCAGTAGAGGGCGACAACGTCCTCTGCTGCCCGCGGATAAACGGAGAAGGAAGTGACGCGCCACCATCAGCGTCAGCCTGAAGAAGCCGGCAGCCGTCGGCGAAACCGTAGCTACAAACAGGTAAACAAAACTGTTTCTGTGTTTAAAAAAGAACGAAAGCATGGATTTAGAAAGACACAGCAAGAACACACCTAAGAAGCCCGGTCTCTGTTTACATGATGGTTTAGAGGACTGGACATCTTTAGACAGCAGGGTCAGTCTGATGGACTGAAACCTGTGGCATCACTTTTTAGTTTATCCATCCATTATCATCGTCGGGTCGGGTCGCGGAGGCAGCAGCCTGAGCAGGGAGGTCCAGACTTCCCTCTCCTCAGCCACTTGGGCCAGCTCCTCCGGGGGAATCCCAAGGCGTTCCCTGACAAGCCATGAGACAGTCCCACCACCGTGTCCTGGGTCTACCTTTAGGTCTCCTCCCGGTTGGACGTGCCCAAAAAAACCTCACCAGGGAGGCATCCTGACCAGATGCCCGAGCCACCTCAACTGGCTCCTCTCAGTGTGGAGGAGCAGCGGGTCTACTCCGAGCCCCTCCCGGATGACCGAGTTTCTCACCCTATCTCTAAGGGAGAGCCCAGCCAACCTGCAGAGAAAACTCATTTCAGCCGCTTGTATCCGTGATCTCGTTCTTTCAGTCACTACCCAAAGCTCATGACCATAGGTGAGGGTAGGAACGTAGATCCACCGGTAAATCAAGAGCTTCGCCTTCTGACTCAGCTCTCTCTTCACCATGACAGACCGGTACAACGCCCGCATCACTGCAGATGCAGCACCAATCCACCTATCGACCTCACGCTCCAGTTTTCCCTCACTCGTGAACAAGACCCCGAGATACTTAAACTCCTCCACTTGGGGCAGGATCTCATCCCTGACCCGGACAAGGCTTTCTACCCTTTTCCGACTCAAGACCATGGCCTCAGATTTAGAGGAGCTGATTCTCATCCCAGCTGCTTCACACTCGGCTGCGAACCGCTCCAGTGCAAGCTGGTGACCACGCGATAGTGCAGAGCCACGTCAGCCAACGCAGCCCTACGACATCCAGAACCTGTTGGAACTCTGGACCTTGTCCACCCCGGGCCTTGTTACAGAGGAGCTTTTGGACCACCTCAGTGACCTCAGCACCAGAGATTGGAGAGTCCAACCCAAAGTTCCCGCACTCTGCTTCCTCACTGGAAGACGTGTTGGTGGGATTGAGGAGGTCTTGGGTATTCGGCCCACGATCCACAACGTTTCGAGTAGAGGTCAGCAGCACGCCGCCCCATTATAAACAGTGTTGGCAGCGTTAGTGCACGAAGCGCTCTCTCTCTCCCAGCCTCCAGCTTCTCAGTGTCACTATTATAACCCGAATCACACAACAGCTTCAACAAAACAATACATCAAGTATCAAACCCAAATCCACTAAATGTTGAGTTAGGAAGTCCTTTCACAAAGCCAACACCGTTTATAACGCTGATGTTGTCTGCACACGGGTCCCACGTATCCTGGTGTATTACACATCCTGTTTGGGACTTTATAATGTTGTTTAACACTCGTCATGCTTCCAACGTGTCCGCACACATCCCAGAATGCTATGCGTAATCACGTGTGATCACCAGCCCTATTATTACAGAAAACTGTGTTTATAACTGCATCAAAAGGTCTGAGCCACGTGTTCGTGTCCTACACGCATTTTTAATTAACACCGGTCTGATCTAAAAGAATAACCTCGTCTATAAATCCATCTAGATGCACTCCAGACGAGTCCCGTTAGCATGACTGCAGCAACACTGCTAACCGTGTTAGCTCCAGTAAGAAAATGTCGTTTCTATAGCGCCTCTCAAGATAAAAATCACGAGGTGCTTCACAAAAACAAAAAATGTGAAAATATAGAAAATAATTTAGAAAATGATTAAAAATATATTTAAAATGAGCAAAAATAGACAATTGTGATTAAAAAATGTTAAGAAAGAGAGAGAGTGAACAGGAAAGAGGGAAACCAGTGGATCCTGAGGAAGGTGGAATAGGTGGGGAGAGCAGAATAAAGAGAGAGAGGTGAAGAAGGTCATACAAAAGCCAGCTTGAACAAGTGAGTCTTCAGCTGCTTTTTAAAGGAGACCACTGAGTCCACTGATCTCAGGCTCAGGGGGAGAGAGGTCCAGAGTCTGGGGGCCACAGCAGCAGATGATCTGTCACCTTTGACCTTTAGCCTGGTGCTGCACAACCAGTAGGCTTTGATCACTGGACCTCAGGGACCTGCTGGAGGTGTAGGGACTAAGAAGATCGCCAATGTAAGATGGTGCTTGTCCATGTAAGGCCCTATAGACCAGAACCAGGATCTTGAAATGAACCCTGAAGTTGACTGGCAGCCAGTGAAGCTGGAGGAGAAGCGGGGTGATGTGGGTGTGTTTGGAGGACTTGGTCAGAAGCCGAGCACAGGCGTTCTGAACCACCTGTAGACGGTTCAGGGAGGTTCTGCTCAGACACGTGAAAAGAGAGTTACAGTAGTCTAAGCGTGAGGAGATGAAGGTGTGGAGAACTGTCTCAAGTTCAGAGCGGGACAGAATGGGACTCAGCTTAGCAACGTTCCTGAGATGGAAGAAGGAAGAGCCAACAAGAGAACTGACATGAGAATCCAGGGTGAGAGCTGGGTCAAAGGTCACGCCAAGATTCCTGACAGAAGGTTTGGTGTGGGAAGCAAGCTGACCAAGAGAGTCTCTGACTTTGGGAACCAGCTTGTCTGGGGCACAGATGAGGATCTCAGTCTTATCTTCATTCAGCTGAAGAAAGCTCCCACCATCCAGGTTTTGATAGAGTCTAAGCAGGTGTGTAACAGCTGCAGCTTAGACATCTCATGGGGCTTAAAGGAGATGTACAGTTGGATGTCATCTGCATAAAGATGGTAGGAGATTCCTTTGAAGGAGCTCAGGATGTGCTGAAGAGGAAGCAGATAGAGGAGGAAGAGCAGAGGCCCCAGCACAGAACCTTGTGGGACATCATGGGTAAGAGAGGTGGTGGAGGACCTAAACTTGGAGACGGCCACAGAAAAGGAGAAAAGTAAGGAAAAAACAAGTCATTTGGGAAAGCTATGACACACACACACACTCCGACACACACTCCGACACACACAAACACACACACACACACACATTTATAATCTAAAAGATGGTCCTGGATTAAGTGGAACAACGAGTCAAACTAATGAGTTAGTCCAGCATCAGGAAGATTAATTCTGGTAACCTGGTTGAATATTTCCAGAGTTATGAGTGTTTACACGCAGCGGTACAACTGGCAGCACATTAGTGTATTTATCTGAATAATATTGAATTATGTTGGCACTGATGATGGAGCTAAGACCAGCTGAGAAGTCGTCAGAGTAGAGCTCCTGGTGGAGCACAGAAATGTAAAATCAAATATAAAAGTAAACAAACTGAACCGCTTTTGGTTCTGAAGATGAACAGAATCCTCATTGATGTCCAAATCGGGTCGTGGGTCTTCTGAGTCAAATGGTCGAAAACATGTCTGCTCCTCCGGTAGTGATATCCAGCTAGCGGGGTTTGGTTGAACTACTCCGGTAATCCAATATCCGTTCTGGTCGCCGTATCCCAGAGGAAAAACAAATGTGAGCGACTAGCAGAGGCTTCAGAAGCTACATCTGGCACGTCGTTCTGCTACAACGCTAACGCAGAAACACCGGAGACGGGGTTGTTTACTACAGTGGTTTCAGCAGAGCTCCTTGTGAAACGTCACCAGCTGTCCAGGGCTCAGACCGGAGGTTGGGTTCTGGTTTTTCCCGCATCGGGCGGAAACATTGGATTTTTTAAAATTCCAGCCGTGAAAATCCAAAAACCTTTTTCATCTGAGGTTTTATACGTCTCTACGCGTGCTGGTCAGAGGAGCGTTGCCTCTGGCCGATATCTTTAATAATAGTTGGACTCTCCCAGGTCCTGCCCCACCTACCTGTGTACCTCCTGCCCAATCCAAACCCTTCCTAGTCTGTAGAAGAGAAACATAACACAGCTGGTCTTTGTTGTTGAGCAGGTGGAGTACCAGTGTGACGGCTTCCTGGAGAAGAACAAGGACACAGTAAATGAGGAGCAGATCAACGTGATGAAGGCCAGCAAGGTGAGACGTGTCCAACCGTCTAGATGGCCAAACCGTACCGAAGCAGCCAGAAGATGTGTCTGAGACTGACGGATCAGATGAATGAAGATTCAGTCAGATTCAGGAACGCTTGATAACTTTACTGTTTTTCTAAAATGTGGATTTAATTCAATTCAATTCCGTTTTTTTATATAAAGCTCCGAATCACAACCAGTCGTCTCAAGGACCTTCACACAGTAACCAGTACAGGTCAGGTCTTTAAGCCAATCAGTAGCTAGTTTCCTATATAAGGTCACATCGAGTCACTGACTAGTGTCAGAGTCTTTACAGCAATCCTCATACTAAGCAAGCATGCAGCGACAGTGGAGAGGAAAACTCCCTTTTAACAGGAAGAAACCTCCAGAGAATCCTGGCTCATGTTAAACTGGAATCATTCAAATGTTTGAATGGGACATCAGGAAAGCAGCGCCCTCTTGTGGCCCTGTGAGGAGGTGGAGGAGGATGTTTCAACATTATGGGTCCGAATGGGAGAGGAGACGTAATCACACCGAGTCTCGTTAAGAGTTCATTGTTGCTTACCCTTGGTGTGTGTGTGTGTGTGTGTGTGTGTGTGTGTGTGTGTGTGTGTGTGTGTGTGTGTGTGTACGTGTGTGTGTGTGTGTGTGTGTGTGTGTACGTGTGTGTGTGTGTGTGTGTGTGTGTGTGTGTGTGTGTGTGTACGTGTGTGTATGTACGTGTGTGTGTGTACGTGTGTGTGTGTGTGTGTGTGTGTGTGTATGTACGTGTGTGTGTGTGTGTGTGTATGTACGTGTGTGTGTGTGTGTGTGTGTGTGTACGTGTGTGTGTGTGTGTGTGTGTGTGTGTGTGTGTGTGTGTGTGTGTGTGCGAGTGTGTGTGCGAGTGTGTGTGTGTGAGTGTGAGTGTGTGTGTGTACGTGTGTGTGTGTGTGTGTGTGTGTGTATGTACGTGTGTGTGTGTATGTACGTGTGTGTGTGTGTGTGTGTGTGTGTGTGTGAGTGTGTGTGTGTGTGTGTGTGTGTGTGTGTGCGAGTGTGTGTGTGTGAGTGTGAGTGTGTGTGTGTGTGTGTGTGTGTGTGTGTGTGTGAGTGTGTGTGTGTGTGTCTACGTGTGTGTGTGTGAGTGTGAGTGTGTGTGTGTACGTGTGTGTGTGTGTGTGTGTGTGTGTGTGTGTGTGTGTGTGTGCGAGTGTGTGTGCGAGTGTGTGTGTGTGAGTGTGAGTGTGTGTGTGTACGTGTGTGTGTGTGTGTGTGTGTGTGTGTGTGTGTATGTACGTGTGTGTGTGTGTGTGTGTGTGTGTGAGTGTGTGTGTGTGTGTGTGTGTGTGTGTGTGTGTGCGTGTGTGTGTGCGAGTGTGTGTGCGAGTGTGTGTGTGTGAGTGTGAGTGTGTGTGTGTACGTGTGTGTGTGTGTGTGTGTGTGTGTGTGTGTGTGTGTATGTACGTGTGTGTGTGTATGTACGTGTGTGTGTGTGTGTGTGTGTGTGTGTGTATGTACGTGTGTGTGTGTATGTATGTGTGTGTGTGAGTGTGAGTGTGTGTGTGAGTGTGAGTGTGTGTGTGTGTGTGTGAGTGTGTGTGTGTGTGTGTGTGAGTGTGTGTGTGTGAGTGTGTGTGTGTGTGTGTGAGTGTGTGTGTGTGTGTGTGTGTGTGTATGTGTGTGTGTGTGTGTGAAGGTTCCTTATCCTGAGGTTCTAACGCTGTCATGTGTCCTGTTGCTCCGTCTCCATCTGTTGTGTGGTTGTTGTCTCATCATGACCGCCCCCCCGCCCACAGAAGGTAAAGGTGTAGTTTCTCTTTAGCTCTCCGCTCTTCCTCCTTCCTCGCGTCTCCGTGTGGTTCTGGGTTCTAGCAGCATGCGGGGTGAGGTGGGAGGCCAGTGAGGGAGGAGGGTGGTTGTATCGGAGTGAGGCGTTGTGGCTGGAGATGCGTGTGCATCATAACCTCTTAACACCACAGAGTAACACTAAGCTGTCATGTATGACCTGTACGGCCGGTCATACATGACCCACCTAAGACCTGTTCTTCATAACGCGTACTCACCTGTCTGAGACATGGATTAACCAGCACACCTGTCTAACTCCTGTCAATGAGGACCGTTGTTGTCAGTAGCTGAATAACCCCAAACGGCTACATGGTGTAACTGTGACTGGGTTGCTGTTCCCAGTTTGACCTGCTGGTGCAGCTGTTCCACGATGAAGAGAAGGTAACCAGTCCCACGGGTCCGGTCCCTGGCACCGGGGGCCGGACCCGCCTCAGCATCAAACCCGACAAGAGCCGAGACTCCAGCTGCAAGGAGCACAAGAAGACTGTTGGCTGTCAGGTGGCATTTTTATCACGTGATGCTATCATAGCTGCCATTCATGTGTTCATATGTGATACGTACGGGTTCCTGTAGTCAGGACCTCCTTTACTCTCAGATCAGCTGCTGATTGCCAGGAGGAAGCTCACGGATGTGTTTCTGTTTTAGTTTCGTAACTCCTTACAAATGCTGATGGGGACCCTGAACGCCACCACGCCGCACTACGTCCGCTGCATCAAACCCAACGACTTCAAGCTGGCCTTCTCGTGAGTCCTCCCACTCATGTACATGTTCCCGAGTGCCTCCCACCGCCCTAACCCTAACCCGCTGCTGGGTCGTCTCCGGCAGATTTGACCCTAAGCGAGCCGTGCAGCAGCTCAGAGCATGCGGGGTCCTGGAAACCATCCGCATCTCCGCTGCAGGATTCCCATCCAGGTACCCATGCTTCCCGCCAGCATCCCGCTCCTCTACCGCTGTGTGTTCTCCGCTCTGAGAGCCCGCACAGCAGGAGGCCTCCTCCGGACAGTAGGCTTAGTGAGGATGTCTTCAGATGATCTCAAAGATCACGTTTCATCCTGTAAACATCTAATAATTATAAAGACACAAAGGTTAGGAGTGCGTGTGTGTGTGTGTGTGTGCGTGTGTGTGTGCCAGGTGGACATACCAGGAGTTCTTCAGCCGTTACCGGGTGCTGATGAAGCAGAAGGATGTCCTCCCTGACATGAAGCTGACCTGCAAGAACGTTCTGGAGAAGTTGGTGGAGGTCCGACCGGTTCTCTTGACGGATTTTCGTTGGTTTGATAACGACCATGCTTCCGTCTGACTCTGGTCACGCTCTCCCCTCAGGACCAGGATAAATACCAGTTTGGTAAAACGAAGATCTTCTTCAGAGCCGGTCAGGTGGCTTACCTGGAGAAGCTGAGAGCAGATAAGCTGCGTGTCGCTTGCATTCGTATCCAGAAGACCATCCGCTGCTGGCTGGCCCGTAAGAAGTTCCTGCGCAAGCGCGGCGCTGCCATCACCATCCAGAGGTTCACCAGAGGGTACCAGGCTCGCTGGTGAGTGACCAGCAGCACCAACCGCAGACTTTCTAGGAGAATCACAAAGTTTATCTGTCCAACGTCTGCAGCCTGGCTAAGTTCATGCGCCGCACCCAAGCAGCCACCATCATCCAGAAGTACCAGAGGATGTGTGTGGAGAAGAAACGCTACCAGCAGAAGCAGGCGGCTGCTCTGGCCATGCAGACCATCCTCAGGGCGTACCAGGCTCGCCAGCTGTACCAGACGGTAAGACGGCCACACACGGGTGTCTCTGAACCTCACCGCGTCTCTGGTTAACGTCCTCCTGTCCTCACGCTGGCAGCTGCTGAGGGAGCACAAGGCCGTCCTGATCCAGAAGCACATCCGGGGCTGGCTGGCCCGCTGCTGGTACAAGCGCTGCCTCGAGGCCATCGTCTACCTGCAGTGCTGCATCCGCAGGATGAGAGCTAAGAGGGAGCTGAAGAAGCTAAAGATCGAGGCGCGCTCTGTGGAGCACTTCAAGAAGCTCAACAAAGGCATGGAGAACAAGATCATGCAGCTGCAGAGGAAGATCGATGAGCAGGTGACCCTCTGGACTGGATTGTTGTCCGTTCACTTCGTCGTGTCGCCGTTTTTCTTTTCTGAATCATTCCTGCCGTGCTTTCAGAACAAAGACCACCGACTGATCAGTGAGAAGCTTGTCGGGTTGGAGAGTTCCTACGCGACCGAGACGGAGCGGATGCGTGCTGAGCTGAGCCGGCTGCGTGGGGTCGAGGAGGATGCCCGAAGCCGAGCCAACCAGGTGTCGTCGCTGCTGGAGGAGCTGGAGAAGCTGAAGAAGGAGCTGAGCGTCACGCAGCAGGAGAAGAAGAGCATCGAGGACTGGGCGCACACCTACAGAAACCAAATGGAAAAGGTGGGCGGGATCTCCTGATGACCTCACGGATTCACAGCTTCTAACCCTTTTAGCTGCAATGAGACAGAGTTCAGGGTGAAGGTGTCTCTTGGGTCTTTAGCTTGACTTCTTGTACCGGAAATGACTTTTCCCTGATTTAGGAAGCAGAACAAATGTGGGAGAGAAGGTGGAGGTGTTGCCCCGCGGCAGGTGAGGTGCTCAGGTGTTACTTCCTGTATGTTGTCCTGTAGATGAGCAGAGCCACGGTGGTTTGTGGAAACCTTTAGCAGGATCTCCGTTGTCCCTTTAAACGTTCTCCTGGCGTGACTCTACGGATGTGTTTGTGGTTTCGATGCTTGACCCATAAGTCTGTGTGCAGGTGCTGTCGGAGCTGAAGGACGAGAACGGGTCGCTGAAGAAGGAGAAGGACGACCTGAACAGGAGGATTCAGGAGCAGAGTCAGCAGATGACCGGTACTTTCCACGCACTGCTCATCCCACACCACAACATCACAACTCCCTTTCATCTTCTAACTAACCTGTTGGCGTTGCGCCACCAGAGAAAATGGCTCGTGCGATCGCGCAAGAGACTCACCAGCTGGAGACGGAGCTGAACGAGGAGCGTTCTCGCTACCAGAACCTGCTGTCGGACCACCTCCACTTGGAGGAGAAATACGACGACCTGAAGGAGGAGATGGCCCGCTCCTCGGTGAGAGCACACGGTCCTGGGATCAGGTCATTTGGTTCTGAGTGACTGCCGATACCGAGTCCCGATCGATACTTTTCAGGAAAGCATTAAAAGAAAAAGAAACGCATCCAAGTCGTCCTTTAAGGTTCACTTTCACCTGGTCAGGAGGTGCCGGGTTCAGCGGGGTTTCTATTATGAAGGTAGTTATTTCTAGTTGTTTACTCCCTCGCCGACTGTTCCCGTGACGGAGCTACAGGCTAACACCTGAAGCTCCGTCACAGCTCCGCTGCTGCAGCCAGGCGCCGATAGGGTGGGGGACGGGGGGATCTGTCCCCCCAGATTCAGATCGACCCCGATCCCCATCCCCCGTGGATGTAGAAATGATGGTAAACACCGCTAACGTGACAGACGTAGCGACAATGTAAAAGAAAAAAGCCGTAAAAAAGATGCAGATGCATAAAGCCGGCCGTGCACGGTGCGACTTTTTCACTTTTTTGAGCCGATTTTCCACTCGTGCGAGAATCCACGAGATCGGGGCGAGTTTAGCGCCGAGCGGTCGTGTAGTGTACGGGGGGTTACGAGAGGCGATTAACACCACGTGACCAGCTACCGAGCAGCAGTCGTGAGGTCGCACGGACCTCTGGCGTGTTTGATATTTCGCTCGTCCCTCGTGAGGGTGTTGCACTGTTGAAGCGGCGCTGCGAGCAGCTGCGACCCAAAAAGTACCAGAACCGCTCACGGCGCATGCGCAATCCTGCATCAACGCCGCTCGCCCGCTATTTCCCTAATAACACACGCTGTTCGTTTTTGTTTCTACACGTTTTTTACTCACAAAGATTGTCAAGAAAGCGTGTTTGTCGTGTTCATGTCAAATTAAACTGATCACAAAACTCAGATTTACTTTCTTTATTTCGTTTTCCTCATCCAACCCCCATAAATCCCTGTGTGTCCTCCTGCAGCACTCCCGAAGGACAACAGGCAAGACGAGACAAAACAGTCTGACGTGTAAAAACTGCTATTTTTAGCACATTTTTAGGGCCGACGTGTTGCTACCAGACGTGCAGTGTGAGCGCCTGACTCGTCAGATCCGCCCTGCGAGGAAGTCGTACAGTTTGAGCTGAAGCCGAACGCTGCGAGTGAAAAAGTCGCACAGTGTCCGCCCGGCTTTAATATGGAAGTCAAGTGTGCCACATAATCATTAAAAAAAGTAAAATATTAAATTTAAAGAGATTTATATATTTATACATAAATTAAAACTTTCCAAATATAATGAAAATTTCTAAATAATGTAAAAATACGAAGGAACATCTGTTGGTCAGGCTGAAAAGTTTGGGAACCACTGCTCTAAGTGATAGGTGAATATCGTTTTTTAAATATATTTATGTGCAGTTTTTTAGGGCTGTTATGTTTTCTGTAAGTATCGGTGTGCTGAAAATCATTGAATGTTTTGCATAAAGCATGCGGTTTGGGTTAGTAACTGATTGGAAGAATAACAAATGACTGAATTAAATAGTGGGGCGCCTGTCAGTGCGCCCCAGGGCAGCTGTGGCTACATCGTAGCTCATCACCACCAGTGTCTGGATGTGTGTGTGAATGGATGAACGATACACTGGTGTGTAAAGCGCTTTGGAGTCCTTACTCTGAGAGGCGCTACACAAGTGTGGGTCATTTATCATTTATATTGTTGATCGGTCAGAGCTTTGTTGCATAATGGCTTCAAACACGTATATAATAGTTAGTTTTTACGTAAACCGTTGGATGAAATTACACAAACTGACTGAGCTTAAGGCGCTTGCAATAGTTTGTGTGTGTGTGTGTGTGTGTGTGTGTGTGTGTGTGTGTGTGTGTGTGTGTATGTGTGTGTGTGTACGTGTGTGTGTGTGTGTACGTGTGTGTGTGTACACATGTGTGTGTGTGTGTGTGTGTGTGTGTGTTTGTGTGTGTGTTGCCCTGCGATGGACTGGTACTCTGTCCAGCATGTACCCCGCCTGATTGCCCATTGACCGCTGGAGATGGGCACCAGCCCCCCGTGACCCGGTGTGGACGAGGTTCTGGGGGGGGGGTGTATAACGTCGGTTTGTCGCGGTGCTGAGCTCCAGGTCGGGGTGCGTGGGCTGCATGCAGCTGACATCTTTCATTTGGATGTTTGTGTCTGCAGAACATGTCCAAGCCGGGACACCGGAGGACCGACTCCACCCACAGCAGCAACGAATCCGAGTACACGTACAACTCCGAATATGCCGAGCTCGAGGAAGGTTCCCGCGCTGGAGAGGTACGACATGGCAACAAGGCAGAACCGGAAATGTGGTTTTAACAGCCTGGAGTGTTCAATAACACCGTTCCCCGTCCTGATACCACACAGGACATGACTCGAGGCATCGATACTTCCCTGACTCTCAAGCTGCAGAAACGCGTTACGGAACTGGAGCAGGAAAAGCAATCGCTGCGCAACGAGCTGGAGAACAAGGAGGAGCAGTTCCAGCGGGCTAGAGCCCGGGTACCGTCAGAGAGTCGGCAGCACCACCTCCACGTCTTCCACAGCTTCGCCGTAACCATTTCCTTGTGTTTGCAGGATGATGCCGAGTTCAGAAAGGCTCGTGGAGCAGAGCTGGAGTACGAGTCCTTGAAGGTAAGAGAAGTGATCCATCAATGGATCTCACCATTCCTGTTAGCCTAGAAGAGGAATTCTGATGGACTGTTGGACTCTGACCCATCAGCGTCAGGAGCTGGAGTCAGAGAACAAGAAGTTAAGACACGACCTGTCAGAGATGAGGAGAAGTCTGCTCGCTGATGCAGCTACCGGAGCTGGGGCTCCGGGCTCGCCAGCTTACAAAGTCCTCCTGGACCAGCTCAACGCTTCCTGTGAGGAGCTGGAGGTCCGCAAGGAGGAGGTGCTGATCCTACGCTCCCAGCTGGTCAGCCAGAAGGAGGCCATGCACCACAAGGTAAGGATGGTCCTTCACCTCCTCACGTTTCAGGGTGATGTCATCAATTTGATCTGTGCTCAGCCGGCTTTCGTCCTCCTCACCCAGCAGTTTGTTGCTAAGCTGCACCAAAAGCAGACAGGAAGTAGGAATGGTCTAAAGTGTGAAGCATGAGGCGTCACCAGAGTCTTCATCTAATTCTTTTTTTCTGCTGATGTCAGAGTGACTCACAAAGCAGAACCCCGTTCAATACTCCAGAATCACTTTACTGACTCACAAACAACGATTCACAACCCTGACTGACTCCTTAACCGACTCGTGCCTGTTAGCAGAAAGCAACAGAGTTCGTTAACAGTAGCATTGCTTTGCTAACACGTCCTGAGAGCTAGCTAGCGGTGCTAATCGTAGCATGAATGAATCTCTCTGTAGCTGGCCTCACCCTCATAGGAGCCGCCCAGTGGGCGTTTGCGGTACTACACGCGTCACTAACCCGCTCTCAGCTCGAGTCCTGACTCGCTCGGCAGTTTCAGTGATGATGTCGTTTTGTTTTGCACTCTGAGCAACTCGACTCAGCTTTATTTCTATAGCGCATTCACACAGTTCTCATTGACCAACGCGCTGCACACACAACAATCTACTGGTGAAAACATGAAACAGTAAAAATGCAAAATCACTTCAAAGTAAAAGCTGGAGAATAAAAGAGACTTTAAAAGATAAACAACTGAGCTAGCTTGTCTAATAAAAACCGAATCAGACACAAATGAATCTAAAAACTGATTCATTTTGGTGAATGACTGTCTTTTATCTGATGGCACCATCTAGTGGCTGACAAGTGCATCGCACCAGGACGCTGTTTTACTTCCGTATTTACGCCGAAAGCTCTCATTGATGAGCGCCGACCAACAAACAGCTAAAACGTTGTTTATGTAGCGTCACACATGGTTAGTGTTAGCATAATGATGGCGTTACAATCATGTTTTCATACATTAATGTTTGTGCTTCATTAACGAACGAGCTGAGCGCTGGCGGGGTCGGGGGGACGCCTGTGTTGGGGTAACGGGTTATTAATGTTTTACCGAGGAGTCTCCTTCAACCCAAACCAGGTCCGAGCGTGAGCGCGTCGCCTCCTCCCGCAGCCGCTTGACACGTTCCTGCAGGTGGCTGGGGCCATGCCGGGCATTACTGAAGACGATGTTTTGTTGTTGTAAATAATGAAAACTGACTCTTCTGTCTCTGCCTTCTCTCCTCCATCCATGCTTTTCTCAGGATGAGAAGGTACAGTTGAAAGTGGAATCAGCTGTGTTTGTTATTCATCTGCTGATAAAAACTCATCAGTTAGGAGAAGTTATTTGAATTATGGCTCATCTGACTTCCTGTTATGTTTGTGGGTAAAACCCGACCTCCTGCTGTGAGTAAAGAGCAGAAACACCCGCCTGGGTTTACTGATCATTAAGAAAAGTTCAGCTCCATCTTCTTCATGTGTTTTCCTCCTGATGTCATCATCTGCTCCTCTTCCTCTCTCGCTGCTCTAGGAGACCATGACGGAGCCGTCGGTGTTTGCTGATGACGTGAACAAGCTGAAAGATGCCGACGAGTTAAAACAAGCTTATGTCGGACTCAAAGACACCAACAGGTGAGCCAGCAGGGCGTGTTGGAGCGATTTACCAGGTTTATTCCTGCCAGAGATCTTTGTGCACCCATCAGCTCTCCCAGGTCAGGGCGCTCACCGCGGGAGGTGGGCGACCTGCTGAGTAGGCTGAGGCCCGTGATGTCACAGCTGGTCCGACGGTTAGGGACGGTGGTGCATGAGCAGGTCTACAGCTTCACATCTACTCTCCAGCTGCTTGGTGGCATTTGTAGGACCCCGCTTGAGCTCCAGCTGTTTCATGTCTGATGTCATTGCAGCTATAATATAACAGCAACGACATCCCATAATACTAGCAGAGTTGGGGTTAGGGTTAGTGTTGAAATAATCTAGGTGACTTGCACTGAACATAGGGTTGAGACTTGCTGACCTGACATGGTCCCACCTGTGGAGCGGGTTGCTCCACCGTGACCTCACAGCTGTAAAACGGCCCTATGGGGGGTTCCTGTGAGGGCATCGTGTTTTATACGCCTCGGCTAAATCCTCGGGGTTCCCTGAAGACCGAGAAGCTGCATGACGGCTGGTTGTTACTAAAACCAGCTGCCTTCTGCTGAGTCGGCTGGTTTCAGCTGTTTATTGGCTCTGCAGCAAACTGAAGTGGACTTGATCTGCTCAGCATGCTGCTGGCCTGCAGAACCACACTGCTGCAAAGTCCGCTTCACTCTGGGATGCTTTTTACTTTAAATCACATCTGTCTCCACTCAGGCTGCTGGAGCACCAGATTCAGACTCAGAGGAGAACTTATGACAGCGAGGTGGAGTTTCTGCGTGGAGAGCTGCAGAACGTGAAGGAGGAGAACAACCGGCAGCAGCAGCTGCTGGCCCAGAACCTGCAGCTGCCTCCAGAGGCCCGGATTGAAGCTAGTCTGCAGCATGAGATCAC